CACAATCGCTCGCACAGCTGCGTTCTGGACTAACTGAAGTCTTCGAACACTCTTCAAGGGCAGCCCCATGTAGAACGTGTTACAGTAATCCAGTCTTGAGGTCACGAGGGCGTGAGTGACTATCTGAAGGGCCTCCCGGTCCAAATAGGGTCGCAATTGGTGCACCAGGTGAACCTGGGCAAAGGACCCCTGGTCACAGCCGACAAATGATGTTCTAAAGTCAGCTGTTTTTAAATTTCCATGTCCGTTAATTAAGTCTCTGTATCTTAACATTTTATTCATATCTGTAAGATTTGGGTGCGTCGTCCTTTCTGTCAGGGATAGCCAGTTCGGGATTTTCACATTGTGGATTTTTAAATTTTTGAGCCAGTTTTGTAATAACACATTTCTACTTAGATGTTTTTGAAAGTTATTTATGTGTTATATTTTTATCATCCCATGGGAATGTATGCCAACCTGCTTGCAGATCATGGCCTTCTAACGTCAAGATTCTTTTATTCTTTAACTCTATCCAGCCCTTCACCCATGTTATTGTTACTGCTAGTGCGTATAACTCCCAGTTTGGTAACGCTAAGCCTCCTCTCTCCTTGCTATCTTGCATTGACTTTAGTTTAATCCTCGCTTTTTGTCCTTGCCAGATGAACCTAGCAGTTAGTTTGTTTAATTCCTGAAATAAAGTTTTACCCAGATTAATAGGCGCGGCTTGTAGCAAAAATAAAATTCTTGGTAAAATATTCGTTTTAACTGTGGCTATACGTCCCATTAGTGATAGCTGAATATTTTTCCAACTTTCTAAATCTTTATTTCTGTCATTAGTTTATTATAATTATCGTCTTTAATTTTAGAACATTTTGCCGACACCCAGATCCCCAAGTATTTCACTTTCTTAGTTATTTGCATCTTAGTTACTAATTCCAATTCCTCTTCTTGGTTTTTTTGTCATATTCTTAGTTATCATTTTTGTTTTGCTTTTATTAATTTTTAATCCGGCCACTTTGCCATATTCTTCTAATTTTTGAATTAATTTGGGACTGGATTCTAGTGGATCTTCTAAAACAAATCCTAAGTCATTGGCATAGGCTTGGTTTTATATTCTTCATTTTTAAGTCTTAAACCTTTTATTCCCTGGTTCTTCCTAATTTCATTTAACAATATTTCCAGAGTTAATATAAACAGCAAAGGAAAGAGGGGGCATCCCTGTCTAATTCCCTTTTTTATTTCAATCTTCTCTGTTAGTTCTCCATTCATCAGAACTTTGGCTGTCTGGGTGTTATATAGTTTTTCTATCACTTTTGTAAATTTTTCTCCAAATTTCATCCTATCTAATTGAGTTGTTATAAACTTCCAGATTACGTTGTTGAATGCTTTTTGTGCATCAAGGAAAACCAGTACCAATTGCATTTCCGGATGCGTCTAATAATATTCTAATATATCTAGGATGACTCTTGTATTATTTTTAATGTGTCTGTGATGTAAAAATGATAGAAAAA